CTCTTCTCAAACTATAAATACTAACCCTTTTATTATCAAATGGCTTACACAAGGTTATTCACTAACTACTTGTATTTAATAATGTTTATATAATTACTTGAAGATCTCTTTCAACCTATCCTAGCTAAAATCTAATTTGAAATAGTTAGCTATAGCATTTATAAGAAATAAGAGGTGTAATGTCACATTAGGTACCAACTTGTAGCACAAATGTAGTTTAGAAATCTTTAATTTTAAAACTTAAGTTTTTATATATACAAAGTTTTTACTTGAACATTATATTAATAAAAAAAAAAAAAAAAAGAATTTTTAAAATTGCAAAAGTTCTTTAAAGCTAATAATATTAAAATAAATAGATCTAAATCAAAGCTTATAATAATAAGCACAAAAATTAAGAAAAAAAGAAAAAGAAATTTAACTTTGGCCAAAGAAGAATCAAAAAACAAGATTGTAAGATCATTAGGAATCTGGCTAAGTAGTAAAATAAGAGAGTTACTAGTTTATAAAAAAGCAAAAAGAATAGTTAGTCAAACAGTTAAAAATCTAAGATACAAAAAAATAACAATAAGCCAAGTTGTATATATAAATAGTATATAATAATTTCTAAGCTTGGATATTTCTTATAGCTAATAAAGATGTTAGAAAAGATAATTGGCAAAATATATTAACTACTAAAAACTAGAAACTAGTATAAGTCTGAAGCATAAGTATATTTTATAATAACTTATTTTTTAATTAATTTATAATAAGTATTCTATAATAAAATAAAATTTTATTAAGTAAATAAATTATATACTACTAAGTAAAATTGTTTAAAAGACCAAAATACATATATTCTAAAATTTTTATACAATTACAATAATTTTTATTACTTAATATTTACTTTTTACAATTACAAATATAAATTTATAAAAAAAATTTAATTGACTTTTTTGAATATAAAATAAAAAACTTATTAGTAAAAAAATTTTTTTTTTTTTGAAATTAAGGTAACCTCTTTGGTCTTTTGATCTTTATTAATCACTTATTAGTATTATGGTTCAATGAACCACTACAAGAAAGAGTACAATTGGCTACATATGTAACTTTTCTATATTACCTATTTAAGAAGTTCACTCAAAGGTTCTCTACTAATTGTCATACCTAACACCTCTGCTTGAGTATTTTACTTTAAACTCTCTGAATCTGTACCCTGTATTAACTTACTGGGTCATACTCAGATGCTCAGATCATTGTTTCAACCTTAGGACTAATTTATTCTTGAGGTAAACCCCTTAGAGCCTTTTGTACTTATTTTTACAGCTGATCTAGATATTACTATGACAGAACTAACACCTGTGATCAGAGCTAACCATTAAACCACTATGCCCTTGTAGAGTTTACTTAGACCTTAGCATCTACTTCATAGCATAACCCTAGTACTTTAGTATACCTTTGCCTTTTCTTCTGTCTTTTTATTAAACTTCCAATTCAAATAGCCCATGTAGGACTATAACTAGTTTATCAGTATATCGGGTTAGTCCAATATCTTTTTTCTTTAGTACATTTTAGTAGCCTGGTTGGTGATACCTTTGAGACTTCCAACCCAGAGGTTTTTGCCTGTCCAACTACTATAACTGAGTATTAGACCTTGGTATTCATTTTGCCAAGCTAGCTTTTACAGTAGAGCCATTGAAGATCCAGCTACCTTTCTATTCGGGTTTTTCCAAATAGACTTCTTGTTACCTAATTTCAATGAATTTATATAGCCACAAGAACTTATTTAGTGTTTGCATCACCCAATTTGTCAGTTTGCATTCTTTTGTATAACTCCAACATTGCACAGATGCTCTATGATCTGTCAGTTATGCTGGTGCAACTGCCATTACAGATATCTTAACCTAATCATTAGTAACAGTTGCTATAATATAAATATTATATAGGTAATTATCCAAATTTTCATCATCGATGGGATTTGAATACCCAATCTACCACTTGGAGGGTTGACAATCTGACTACTTTACTAGGTTATCATACTCCTAATTAGTAAAATTGTTCTATTTGTATATAAATTTTAGAATATATATATTTGGATCTTTTGAACAATTTTACTTAATAACATATAATTAATTTACTTAATAAATTTTTGACTTTACTATATAAAAACATGGTATAACATCTAGAAAATAACAAAACTATTTTTTTAATATTTTTAATATAAATGAAACAAAAACAAATTTTTGGTTATTAAAAGATATGAAAATATAAGTTTATTGCTTCATTTTAGACAATTAATATATTTGGCTAAACATAAATGCAACATAAAAGATGTAGTAATTTAGTAAAGTGAATAAGTTGTCAACTTTTCAAGTAATAGGTTGTAGGTTCAAAAGTACCAATAATAAAATTTAAATTTTTTACTTGTATTACAGCAACTGTTTCTAATAATTAGATTAAAATATCTGTAATTATAGTTATATCAATATGATTAGCAGAACATAAAGCATATATGTAACTGGTTATACAAAGAAATGCAAATTAGCATCAGGTAGTGCAAATCTAAGATAAGTTCTTGTAGCTATATAAATCTGTAAAAATTAGAAAACAAAAAGCCTATTTAAAAAGATCTAAGTAGTATTATTATAAAGACTAAACTTAGAAAATAAATACCAATGCCAAAGTAACTAGACAAGCAAAACTTTTAAGTGGAAGTACTACTAATTAGGCCATCAAATTAAACTAGAGAAAAAGGATATTAGGTTGGCCTAATATATTAATAAACTGCTTGTAGTTCTATTAGACTATCTGAATTAAAAGTTTGATAAAAAAAGCAAAAATATATTAAAGTATTAAAAATATATTGTAAAGTAGATACTAGAATCTAAGTAAACTTTGCAAAAACATATTATTTTAATAGTTAGCTCTGATCACAAATATTGGTTTAGCTATAGTAATACTTGGATTAGCTATAAAATAGGCATATAGTAGGCTTCAAAAGGTTTATTTCAAAGATAAAAATATTTTAATATTAAGATGAAGATTCAAACTTGACTTAGTAAAGTTAATATAGAACAGGTTCAAAGAGTTTAAAATAGAACATCCAAGCAGAAGTGTTAGATATAGCAATTGATAGAAAATATTAAACAAAATTCTTAAATAAGCAATATAGAAAGTTATATAAGTAGCCAATTATATATACTTTTTGTAATGCTTTTTATAAAACTATATTTATAAAAATGTGTTAATAAAGTTAATATATTTAAGAGGTTATCTTAATATTAAAAAAAATAAATACAATATAATAAAAATATTAAACAATTGTATAATATAAAGTACAAAAATCTAAAAAATTGTAAATCACTAAGTGAAGTGTAATGACTTAGTAAAGTAGTTAAATTATTAACCTTTAAGTAGTAGGTTGAATGTTCAAATCTTATTAATAATAAAAATTTGGATAATTACTTATATAATATTTGTATTACAGCATCTGTTATCAATAATTGGATTAAGATATCTATAATAATAGTAGCACAGCATAATCAACAGGTTATAAAGCATTTATATAAATATGGCATTATACAAAAAAATGCAAACCAACAAATCAAGCAATGCAAACACTAAATAAGTTCTTGTAGCTATATAAATCTGTTAAAATTGTATAACAAAAAGTTTATTTAAAAGACCTAAGTAAAGAGATAGTCAGATCTTTAATAGTGTTACTATAAAGATTAGCTTAAGAAAATAAATACCAAGGTTATAGTACCTAATCATAGTATCTGATTAGACAAAAACCTTCAGATTGAGAAAAACTCAGAGATATCACAAACCAGGCTGTTAAAATGAACTAAAAAAAAAGAATATTGAGCTGATTTGATATATTAATAGATTGTTTATAGTTATACATAGGCTATCTGAATTGGAAGTTTGATAAAAAGACAGATTAAAAGGCAGAGATATACTAAAGTACTAGAGTTATACTGTAAAGTAGATGCTAGGTCTGTGTGAACTCTACAAGAATATAGCAGTTTAATGATTAAGCCCTAACTACAAGTGTTAGTTCAGTAACATTTTACTGACGTGACCTTGTATATTAATACAACTAATAAAAAATTAACATTAGAAAATGTACAACTCTCAGGTTTCACAAATTTATAAAAGGAAATAAATTATAAAAATATTAAATATTAGTCAAATTTATTATTATAAACATTAAAACTAATAGTAAATTTTTATATACATTAAAAAAAATTTTGTTAGTTTTATATTTTTATATATTTTCTAAGTCAAATTCAAAAAAGAATATTTAATAAAAAAATTTTTAATAAATATTCTTTTAAATATAAAGCTCATTGCCACTGGGCTAGTCTTCTTGAGCCAAACAGGCTCTTCTTCGATAAAATGAATTTGAAAATAAAAACGAATGCCCATCTTACTGCATATGATAATACGTTTTTATTTTTTAAATTAATTTTATCTTGTGTCATTGAATGCAAGCATTCAACTATTCCAAAATGCTCAGCTCGAGAGCATTTTGGTTAAAAAAAAAATAGGGAGAAGAAAAAATAGATAGATAGATAGATAGATAGATAGAATAGAATAGATAGAAGAATGATGAAATCGCTGGTTGCACCTTTATTTATGTATAAAAATAATCTTTATTGAAAAATATTTTGGTTTATTTAAATAACAATTTCTTTGAAGAAATCAGTTAATAAGTTAATATAGAAAATTAAATCTGGTCTAAAAATATATTGATGAGAATTAAATCTGTTCGTATATAATCTTTGTGCTAGTTTAATAACATAATTATTAGAATTTTTTGCATTTAAGATATTATCTAACATTTTTTGATAAAGAACCACAAGATGATTAGATTTCTTCATTTTATATTTATGATTACAGATGAATAGAATTTCTTGTATATATCGTGTAAGAATTTTATACATCTCTTTATCATTAATGTCAATTTTATATTTAAAAGAAGGTGTATTATTTAATTTTTTGTTATATTGTTTTTTAATTCATTGAGGAATGCATTTATTTTTTGGTTTAGTTTTGTTTTTAACTTCTTTCTTTGTATGTTGTTTATTATGCTCTTTCTTTTTATAACTTACTGTTCGATAATAGCATTCAAGTTTCATGATTGATATCAACAATTTTTTTTTCTCTTCATATAAATGTGGTTTAAATTTGTATTTCGAATATTTTGTTGACAGGTTAATGATATATTCATTTGGATTTGTCGAAGCTTCTATTTCAGCCAAAATTCTTTTATATTTCTCAACAAATTTTGCTTCATCTTCGACTTTAAAAACTTTTGTTCAGTATAAGATCTCGTTTATTACTATTATAAATTTTTCATATAATTTTGGATCATCAATTTTAATTATATCATAGATCGAATTATGATTTACATATAGTTTAAGAAATCCCCAAATAGAATTTCGATATCGTATCTTTTCATGTTGTTTTTCTAATCTACGATATCGTCTTTTGTCATCTTTTGATAATTGTTTATATTCATCAGAAGATAAATAATGTAATGTCATAATATTAGTTAAAAAAAATAATACATTTGTAAAAAATATTTAGCAAAAAAGAAATTTTGTATATTATTTATAATTTTTATTTATATTATGTAAACTAAACAATTAATATATTAAAATACAAATTTGAATAAGTTAAATTATCTATGTAATAAAAAATAATTAAGAATACTTTTTAATATTAATCATTATAAAAAATATATTTTTTAACAAATAATGTTATTGATTTTTCTATAATTTCAGTAATACATAATAACTGACATTCTTTGACAAAATCGATTTGTAAACTATATTTTATTTTGTTATCATAATGACCTGTATTAATTTTTGATATATATTTTTTAAATTCGTTGACATCAAATTCATTAATTTTTAGATATTTAATTATCTGATCTGATTTTTGATTCTTTTGATAAAAATTATATATATCAGAAAAATCATTGCAATTGATAATATTGTGGTCAAAAGTTATATAATTTGTAAATTTCATTTTGAAAAATTTTTAATAGAAAACCAAAGAGCTTTGATTTTATGTTTTTGTAAATTGAAAACCAAAGAGCTTTAATTTATAATTTTATTAGTTAAAATCTTAGATGTAATTGGTTTGAACCTAGAGTGTAGTTGCTTAGCACAAATCGGCAATAGTAACTTTATTTAAATTTAATTATTTTTTATATAAATAAATATTTAACCATCTTCAAAATATTTTTATTAACTAAAAATATCTGTTGTAATAAGTAAACTTGAAAATGATGATTTTGAAAAGATATATAAACAATGTTTTGAGAAAAATATATTATTATTTTTAGATTATAATATGCAATTTCAAAATGCTGATAAATTTTTTAAATATTATTTAACAAACCAGAATCAAGAAATATTTGATTACTATCATATTAACAATTATATAATAATTGTTGATTATAAGAAAAAAGTAATTGATTTATTTCATGAAATTGAAATTTTAACATATTCAAATTATAAAGAAGGACGATTGATTCATTGTATGAATTGTTCAAAAATATATTTAGTAAAAGAAAAATAATAATAATATTAAAAATAAAAATGAAGTGTTTTATTTATTTTAATTCGAAAATTTGATCATCGTAATCAGCAAGTTCAAGTTCAACATCTTCAATCGAACGTTTTAAAGGTCTTGTGTGTAAAGAAGAAGAAATAATGTTTTCATGTTCTTGGATTTCTTGTTGTTGTTCTTGTTGTTGTTGAGAAGACATTTTTTAATAAAGAAAAAATAAATTTCATCACTTTTTATTATTAAAAAAAATTATTAAAAAAACTCTTATGATCATTAATGATGATGTAAAAATGATTGATATTTTTAAAAGTTTAATATATTATTGATTGATATCATAGTAATTGAGTTAAATTTATAACAGTGATTTTGTGACGTTTCATAATTTTTTTATTTTTTTTTTGAAAAAATTTTCTGAAAAATTTATCGTAAAAAAAATTAAACATCAAATAATCACAAGCCTTGAGATGTCATTATTTTTGATTAGTACTGAACAATTATCATATGATCAAATTTCTTATCATTAAAAAATTATTTGTTATAAATAAATTTTTATTGGTACAAAAATTGCTTTATTAAGAAATATTAAAAAGAAAAAATCGATAAACAAGTTTAAGAAACTAGCTTCTAAATTAACAAGAAAAAAATAATAAAAAGATGAAAACAAAATTTTCTATAAAATTAATTTCTATACATCATTATTTTGAACAAAATGTTTTTCAAGAACATTATCAAAAAAATCAAAACTGTATTCAAAAAACAAAAAACATTTGAAGAAGATAATTGGAATGATATTGTTCAAG